CGCGACTTCCAGGCCGCCCGCCTCGACCGCCATGACCGGGGGCCCTGTGCCCGCATGCGCCCCCGGCCCTCCACTGGCCTGGCTGAGATCCTCGTCCTCGTCGGCGGCTGCGACCGCGACTGCGATGAGCTCGTCACTGTCGACTGCTACAACCCCCGCACCGGCCACTGGCGCTACCTGGCCGAGTTCCCTGAGCACCTGGGTGGGGGCTACAGCGTTGCCGCACTGGGCAATGACATCTACGTCACCGGTAAGGGGTGTGGGGTACAAAAGCACCAGTGTTGAGATTTCCATTGAAAATATGTGGGTTCTAGCAGAGAGACTTGGCTTTTCTTGGGGTAGCAGAGAGTTTGAAACTCTGCTCAGGCTCAGTATGACTGCAGCCTGAAGACAGGCATAGGGACTCTTGGAGTTGGTGCTGGATTTAGCAGCTGGTCTCAATCTGGGAAGTATTTTGTCATGACTAATGCTCCTGAGCACGTGGGCAGAAGTCAGAGATCTTGTACCGGTAGAACTTTCTAACCGCTCACTCTGGGGGACGGGAGTGACTTGAGAGGGTTTTGAATTTCTGTCTGCGAAGAAGTGTTTGGGTTCGGAGCCCCGTGAATCACAAGCCAAGCACGTGCTCGAGGCAGAGGCGTGTCAGAAAGCCCCGGGTTCCTCAGCCAGCCAACGCCTATGAGTCACGGTACCTTTCCCAGCACGAATCCTGCCTCCTCTCAGTCCGCTGGGGCTATAATTACTTCTGTCAAGGTGACATGGATGTGTAAATTTGGCTGTTAATCTTTATGTAGATGCCTCCTTTGAACTACACCCCTGTAGCTGGAGCGGCAGCCCTGTGGCAGCTGTAACAAACCAAGGCCTGGGAAAGCAGGTGCTGCAGAACAGCTTGCTCTGGGTGTGCAGGACGCTCTGACAAAGATTTGAAGGTCAGGTCAAACGCAGGTGAACAGAAAACGGTTCATTCTCTAGTCACGAGCAGAAAACAAGGCTCTGCTTTAAGGGCAGAGGCCGATACTGCCGAGAGCCCCGTGCTTCGGCGAGGCTGCTGCTGGTGGGGATCTTCGGTTGTTCCGCTTAGTGTCAGCGTCGTAGCGCGGGCAGCAGGGAGAGTTGGAGGGTTTCCATGCTGCCGGCGGTAATGCTGCCTTGGCAGCTAGGCACTGGCGAGTTTTAGTCTCCGCTATGTCACAGCAGGTTCTGGATAGCGATGGAGCAGGGGTTGCAAAATGGGAGAGAAAATGGTTCTTTGGAAGGGTGGAGGCAGTCAAACCTGGGAGACTTGTTTTGAGTTGTGGCTGAGTACAGACTAGGAATGACATGGGAGAAATCCTTCCTGGCTTGCTGGGAAAGTGCAAAACTTCCATTAAAATCCTCTCAGTGCAGGCTACTGTGGTCCCTCAGTACTGAAATATTTTCATAATGTACGGCCCCGGGAAGCAAGACGTGAGTCTGTGTATTAAGAAGGTGTAGCTGGAAGACATAACAAAGATCCCGGTCCCGAGCCAAGCCCTCTCCTCCGTTACTCTATAGTACTTCCCTTTGCGAAACCACACTTTGAAATGTGGCGTGCTGTGCTGCAGGAGGATCGGACGGGTCGAGGCTGTACGACTGCGTCTGGAGGTACAATTCCAGTGTGAACGAGTGGACGGAGGTGTCCCCCATGCTGAAAGCCAGAGAATACCACAGCTCCACGGTCCTGGACGGGCTGCTGTACGTGATCGCCTCCGACAGCACGGAGCGCTACGACCACTCGGTGGACAGCTGGGAGGCTCTGCAGCCCATGCTGTACCCCATGGACAACTGCTCCACCACCTCATGCCGTGGCAAGCTGTTCGCCATAGGCTCCCTGGCTGGCAAAGAGTCCATGGTTATGCAGTGCTACGACCCCGACAGCGACCTCTGGTCCCTCGTGAACTGCGGCCACCTGCCTCCCTGGTCATTCGCCCCAAAGACCGTCACTCTCAACGGCCTCATGTACTTCATCAGGTGAGTAGTGGGAACGATGACCTCCCTCCCCAAGCCCCCATGAGGCAAGCCCAGGGTTTCCCCGGGAAGGCATGCGGATTTTGCGGGTGGTTGTAGGAGAGCACTGTGTTGGGAAAGCACGGCAGTGCTTCCTCTGCTGGTGCAGGTGGGTCTGTAAACTGCCACACCTCCTTCCTTTACTTCTGTTGTAGTTAGACCTCAAAGAACTACGCTTAAAATTGGGTACAAATACCTGAATCTAAACCCACAAGCTGGGGAATAGCCAGGTATATAAATCTGGCTGAAGTCAGCAGCGCTGCTTGGAATTAGACTTCTCGGTTTTCTTGGCTTCTGGTTCAACCCCCCCTTGTTGCTATAAATAAGCGAGTCAGCTCCAAGAAAACGTTTAACTGTAGCGCAGGAGAGGACATCCTCCATCTCAGCAGAGATAAGAGGACTGAAGATGAAATGATTGGTCGCTATTTTTAAGCGCCTTTCCAAATTGGGACTTAATTACCCATCTGAAGCTGTCCTGGTGGTGCAAATACTTCAGTTATCCGCTTAATTAAAAATAAACTGAAAGGCATGCTAGCGCTGAAGCATTTCATCTTGTTGTGTTGACTTTGAGCAAACATAGACTTCTGTGATGGCCTCCAGACACTTTTCTTTTTTTAATTTCCTCTTGGCTTTGCATAAAGCAGAAACCTCTGATATGATTCATTTGGGTTGAGCCGAGTGTCTCGGTTCCTGGAAGTTGTTTGCAGATAGCAGTTTGAGTCACCTGGTTTTCAGTAAATACTGGCAGGGGTGTTCTAGCTGTTCAGCTACTTGTCACAAGCCGATTCTATAGGTTTTTCTTTTTCTTACCCATTTTAAAATACTGATGATTGACACTTCAGGATTTCTGATCACTTATGCATCTGCAGGAGTTAATGAGATTATCGGGGTGAGGTTTTTCTCCCCTCGTTTCACGTGCTGCATGTGGACTGCTGCTCTGTATAAAGCTGTAAGATAATCTTTGGAGGACAGAGGAACAGGTTACGAATAAAAGTCGCAAACTCATTTTTTGGTTAGTTTTAATAGCTCAGACTAAAGCTTCTGAGTGATGATCCCCTCTAGTGGGACTAGTTTTATAACTATAAATACAGCATAGCAGCGAGGCTTAGGTCTTCAGCTGCATCCTTTTTAGAGCTAACCCTAAGATGGGAGAGGAGGTCCTGGCCTGACTGTCACCAGTGCCTGGAACTGCCTTTGCCCCTCATTTCCCTTCCAGTCCATCAGGGGTTTCAGCTTTGTACTTGGACGTATTTGACTCACCTGCTGCTGTTAGTTACGGGAAGCGTTATGAACAGCAGCAGTTCTTCCAGGTACAAATGGCTTGGCAGCAGCGCTGAAGTCCCAGGCGCTGTGTCCCGAGGCGGGTACCAGCTCTTGGTTCTGAGCAGTTCTGAGGAAGAAACGTTGGTCTTAGTGCAGCTCCGTGGGGCTTGGAGCGCTCTCTTACATGTGCCCGCGTTAAAGATGTTTCGTTCAGGTGGATATCAGTTCAGTTCCAGGTACATCACAAAAGTAACTCAAACTAAAGGAACTGGTTTTAGAGTGTGTATCGTATGGGTACTTTAGGAATGCTTGTCCAGAGCGTAACCAGAAAGTCCCATGGCACGCACCTCGGCTTCGCCGCAGGCTTAGCGGACAGATTTCTGATGTAACGGTTTGCTAAACAGACACTGCTGTTGTAGGTGAGATTTCTCGTTTATTTTCACTCCCTCCTCTGCTCAGATTCATGTCAGCAATCGATAGCCATACCTTGTCACCTGCACAATGCATGGCAATGTGCGATGTCACGATAGATACAAAGGCAGTAAAATATTCCTTGCAGCCTTTTGAATCAGTCCATAACAGGACTGCCTTGGAGCGACTGACAGCACTTCTCTGGCTGCCCTGACCTTGTCCTCTTCTCATTCTTGTGTCAGCGGCGCGCGTTTCTGCGTCACAAACGTCCCTCACCTGTCACTGTCGCCCTCTTGTCTCGTGAGTGGAGCGGGTGAGAGAAGCCTTGGGGGATTACGCTGCCTCCGCCAGCTCTTCTCTCTCAGTCTTCCAGCCCATCTAAATTTGGCATTGGCAAAAAACTCTAGCAGTAGGGATGCCGTTATTTTGAGGGGCTTGAGGGTTTAAGCTTCTCCAGAACAGCAGTAATTTTTCTTCCAGACCCTGAAGCACTTGGCACCAAAGCTAGATTGGTCTGTGAAATGCAGACTTGCAGAAGGTTAGTCTGTGAACACACCAGATGTAAAAAAAAAGACTAGATTTGAGAAAGCCCTTGGGATTGCGCAGCGATTTCCGACCCAGCAGCGGCGTAGCTGCATGCTGGACTCCGAGCGGGGCTCACAGTCTGGAGCAGCTCGCCCGGCCGTGTCAGGTAGAGGGACCAACTTAGGGAGGTGGAAAACCGTGCGTGCTGTCAGCTTGCTCTGTCTCCAGTCGTGTTGTCTGCCTTCCCTCCTAGGCAGCGTCCTAAAACTCAGCATACACCAGGAAGTATAGAGCATGTTGCTTTGCCTGTAGAGAAGCTCAGAAGGGGCATTTGGGCTCTTTGGATGTAGGTCACTGGCACTGAGAATGAGAAGCACTCCTGCACTAATATGTGGCACGTGCACAATGTCTGTGCCAGCCTGCTGCATGTGTAGGGGTGCAGCAGAGAGGTCCAGGCGTTTTCTGGGGTTGAACATCACTGCTGGTGCAGGAGAAGCCCACGCTGGAGGCTGGGGTGAGCATTGAGACCTGTGCCTTCATACAGGAACCCTTTGGTCTCTGATACATGTAGTGGGATCGGAGCAGAAGGGCTCACGGCGGTGTTTCAGGCTGTTGAACTGGGGGCTTCACAAGGTGGGAGGTTTTTAGAATGCAGAAGAGTAATTTTGTTATCTCCCACAGAGACGACTCGGCTGAAGTGGATGTTTACAATCCAGCAAAGAATGAATGGGATAAAATCCCTGCCATGCTTCAGGTAGGACACTTACTGACCAACTGGATGCCTTTCAGTGTTAAAAATTGGCTTAATATACCTTTGGAAAACAAGGTGCTCTTTAGATTATAACCCCTTGCACACGGAGTGCATTTAAGCGTATCGCAGTCACCCAGAAGAAAAAATCCTGGACTGTGATTGCATAGCCGGGTGGCCAGCCCGGCACGCGAGAGCTGGGCAAAGCTAGAAAACTGTCTCCTCCCGGTGCTTGGGCAGCGCTGGTTCAGAGCCAGAGTCAGCAGCCGGTGGGCGCTGAACACTGTCCAAGCGAGCAGTTGCAGGACAGTACCCGCCACCTTTATCGTCTACCTAACTGGGCAAACCCCTCCTTTCTAATTGGTGTGTGTATTTATTTCTAAATTGTAGGTTCACGTCGGGGGGAGCGTGGCCGTGCTTGGCGGGAAGCTCTACGTCTCTGGTGGCTACGATAACACGTTTGAACTTTCGGACGTCCTGGAAGCCTACGACCCCGAGACGCGAATGTGGAGCGCGGTAGGCCGACTCCCCGAGCCCATCTTCTGGCATGGCAGCGTCAGCATATTCCGGCAGTTCATGCCGGAAACCACACAGGAGGACGACGGCATCACACTGGACAACACCATCAACTTGAACAGGCAGCACCAAAACCTTCACAACCAGAACCTTAACGAGCTTCGTTAGCAGGGGAAAGCGCTGTCCGCCTGGCTCGATGCAAGCTCATTATCCAGAACCCGTGTTGCTTTGAGAGAAAGCAGAGGCAAACGGGTGCTTGGAAACAAAAACGTACTGATCGTAGAGGGAGTGAAAACTCTGAATGTTTGGTGTGCTGTTGCGGAACCGCAGCCGGCAGACGGCGAGGCCTCCGCTGCGGCATCCCTCGGCCCTCCTCTGGGGTGGGAGAAGGCGCTGCCCTGCCCGCAGAGGAGACCCGAGAAGAGAACTCTGAGGAAAGCAATCGCATTGAATGACACCGCAGCATCACAGCTTACGGCTTTTGGTCAGACGCCTTTCACTGGGAGCTCCGTCACCGTAACGCTTCATTTGCCACCAAACTCCTTTCTTCCGTTTCTTTTTCGGGAGGGGTCTGTCTGGTAGGACGGTGGTCTGGACCCCCGCCTCTATTCTGTGCCTCAGAGGAAGACAGACCTCCTGTGCACATCTTCCTCTGCGCGGTTAGAGGGGGAAGGGCCTTCCTACGAGAGCTGGGGGTCTGTTAGGGGTGAGAGGTTAATATGAGAACATGGCCCTTCCTGCCCTGTCGCTGTGGTCCTCGGTTCCCGTTCGTGCCCTCAGAAGGAGCAGACATCCTGCAGCAGGGATCTCGCCGAGGCTGGGTTATGAAGCTTTACCTTGCCCTTTGTCTGAACTTCAGTTCTTCCTGTATTTTGGTGGGTTTTTTTAAGTTGCAGCATTTAAACTTTTGCAGGTATTTGTTTTCCAACCCTTCCTAGCAGAGCACTTTTTCCTTCTAAGAAATGCCCTTATTTATCTTTTAATTGCATTCTCACAACTAGGTGGTTTTAATTTCTGATCATCCCAGCTGCGCCCCGCTTTAAGGGGAAGGGGAGAAGCGAGTACCCCTCTTAGCTGGCCCGAGGAGCAACTCCTGGGGCTGGCCGCTGCTGCCCTCAGGGAGGAGCCGTTCTCCCTTCCCAGTTTGACAGGGCTTGTTGATCGTGGGGCTGAACTAGGCAGAAAAAGCTGCTGCTTGTGGCAAGGGCTGTTTGCTGTTGGTTCTCCTGTGCTGAGCCCTCGGCCGGCACGCTGGCCTGGGCAGATCGGCCCCGTGCAGTGAGGGCGAGTTTTTATTTCTTCACCGTTTTAAAGGAGCTAAGTCGACATTGTACTATTTTAGAAAAAAAAAAAAACCAAAACCAACCTTACTTGGAAAGGTGAGGTCAGCTTCCTCAGGAGATTCGCCGCAGGCTTGCGGAATTGCTGGTGGTGTTTAGATACCTTGATGCAGAATTACTTTTAAATGCGTCACCTTGTGCGAAGGAACCCACCGGACCTTTGGAGGGGTCTCGTGCCTGTCGCACCTCTGGTTTGCAGGAGCTCTCGGGATTTGGGCAATTGGAAAATGCCGCTGAGGTGTTTTGGTGAAGGTGTAGGAGTTAGCCGGAGTGTTGTGGATTGAAAGGTAGTTGTTTTAGGGGTTTTTTTCTTGTTTTTGTGTGGGGTTTGCTGGCTTTTTTGGCCTGTGTAAGATTTGCCTTTATACTCACCCAAGCGGCCTAGCTAGCTTGGGCTGCATTTCCTCTATCTACCTTAGCTGAAGAGAAGCTGCGTGCAGTTTACTCGTGGAATGTTTCTTGAACAAGCGAAGAGCTGAAACTGCGGTACGGCTCACCCGGCAACAAGCATCGCGCCTTCGAGAAAACTGTAAAGCACGACAACGGCTGAAGTGTTGGCTGGATGCATTCGCTTTTTCCGTCTTTTGTTTTTAACCAATAGGAGAAAAAATTGAATTTAAACTTAATTCAGAGATGGAAAGCCCGTATACTCGATTGCACGCCTTCTGGCTTGCCCTTGGATTGAGCAGTGTCAGAGACTCATCTCCACGTCAGCGTCTTCGCAGCTTTAAAAAGATCTGTCTTGCCTTGAATGCCATTTTACGCCACGTTCCTCAGCTGTGGAACTTGGGGAAGCCGCTCATGAAATCTGGGCGGTTCTCCACGTCTGAAACTTTGACAGTGACTTCAAGCC